ACAGGCACCTCTGTGACCACAAATGCAAGTTTTTACAGACGAATCTCCAGCTAGCGTGGCCGTGACGAACTCTAGCTCAAGTCTGTAAAAACTTGCATTTGTGGTCACAGAGGTGCCTGTGCTAACCTTCCTATGGTGTAGAAATATACCTAGTTGGATGAATCTTATTGTGGCTAGCTGGTCTAGTGGCTAACGCGACGGGCTGGAGTTTTGAGACTCTATGACCGCGGGTTCAATCCGGGCCGGGGGTATGGTTTATATTCCCCCTAATTCTACACCTTTCGACAATGCAGATTCAGGGCCCTCAGTTTATCCTCATAGGGAAGATTTCTGATACATAGGATCAGCTTTGTCATCCTCCTCTGTACGTTTTCCAGTGCATTTATATCCATTCTGTAATACGGTGACCAGAACTGTGCACCATAATCTAAATGAGGCCTAACCAAGAATATACGGAGTTGAAGAACAACCTGAGGACTTCTGTTATTTATACTTCTAGATAAAACAAGGATTCTGTTAGCTTTATTGCGAACACTAATGCACTGCTGTCTTGGTTTTAGATTACTGCTAACTAGAACTCCTAAATCCTTTTTGCAATCAGTAGTATTAAGATCTACATTATTTAGTTTTTATGTGGCATGGTTATTTTCCTGTCCAACATTTAGAACTTTGCATTTGTCTATATTAAACTGCATCTGCCACTTCTCCAACCATTGCATCAGTCTATTCAAATCATCCTGGAGTGCTCTAGTGTCCTCATTAGAATGAATTGGATGGCCTATTTTGGTGTCATCAGCAAATTTGCTTATGTCGCTATTTATTCCCTTATCTATGTCATTTATGTAAATTTTGAACAACAATGGGCCCAACACTGACCCCTGCAGAACATGACTCAAGAAATCGTAATGACACGATTGCAAACAAACCTCTATGACCGCGGGTTCAATCCCGGCCGGGGGTATGGTTTGCCCTGCAGAACACTTCTTGTGATGTACCCCCCATTCTGATTTCTCCCCATTTACATAAACTCTCTGTTGCCTATTTGTCAGCCATGCCTCTACCCAGGAAAAAATTTCTCCTATTCTGTGTGCCTTAAGTTTCCTCAATAGCCTCTGATGTGGAACTCTATCGAAAGCCTTACTGAAGTCCATATACACAATATCATATTCATTACCATGATCTACCTCCTCAAACACCTTAGTGAAAACAGTAAATTCGTAAGACAGGAATGCCCCTTTGTAAAACCGTGTTGAGATTCATTAATCAATCTATGCCTATCAAGGTGACTACGAAATGCTTTGGCAATTATTGATTCCATAAATTTTCCCACTATGGAGGCAAGGCTTATTGGTCTATAGTTCGAAGCTAAGGACCTGTCACCTGCCTTGTAAATACGTGTAACATTTGCCATTTTCCACTTATCAGGCACTATGCCAGTTTGTAGTGATATGTTGAAAAGATTAGCCAAAGGTATGCTAAGTTCCTCTTTACATACCCTTAACACCCTTGCAAACAGTTCATCAGGGCCTTGGGATTTGTTAGGTTTTAATTTCTCAATTTGTCTGAGGACCATGTCACTAGTTACTGCAATCGTGCATAATTTATTATCGTCCTGTTCTTCATAATCTATTATTTCAGGAATTTCGCTAGTATTTTCCTGGGTAAAAACTGAGAGGAAGTAGGTACTGAAAATTTCACACATATCCTTACCACTATCAGTGATCTGACCAGAGTTACTCTTAAGTGGGCCTATCTTGTCCCTAATCTTACATCTGTATACCAGAAAGAACCCTTTTGGGTTAGTCTTCGAATCCCTTGTGACCTTAGCCTCATAATCCCTTTTTGCTTTTATTCCTTTTTTTTATTTCTCTCTTTAATTGAATATATTGATTTCTTAATTGCCCATTCCCTCTTTTGATATGCCTGTACATGCCTCTCTTTTGATCAACGAGATGTTTTAATCTACTGTTCATCCATTTGGGATCATTTTTGTTAGATCTAATTTCCCTACTCGGAACAAAAGTTGTCTGGGCAGCTAGGACTATGCTCTGAAAAACGTCATACTGGCAACCAAGATCACCTACCTGACCCATAGTCAGGTTATCCCAATTTAGCCCACCCAGTTAGTTTTTCAGTCCCATGAAATTGGCTAAGCGAAAGTCTGGGACAGAGATTTGATTGCAGTTATCTGGGTAATTCCATGATACTGTATATTGAAACTAAGTGGTTTGTGATCACTTTCCCCAAGCTCATCATTAACCTCAAGATTATTAATTAGTGATTCTTTGTTGGCAAGAACCAAGTCAAGCAGATTGTTTCCTCTAGTTGGTTCTGTCACAAACTGCTCTAAAAAGCAATCCTGAACCACATCAATGAAGTCACTAGACTCAAGATTTCCTGCCATATTGTTCCAATCAATTAGTCTAAAGTTAAAATCTCCCATTAACACAACATTTTCATATCTAGATGCCTTATGAATTTTGTCCCATAACAGATTACAGTGAAACATATAAGTGAACAGTATTTAGATAAGGCTAAAGAGGTCTTTGTGGCATTTATGGATTTGGAAAAGGCGTATGACAGGGTGGATAGGGGGGCAATGTGGCAGATGTTGCAGGTGTATGGTGTAAGAAGTAGGTTACTGAAAGCAGTGAAGAGTTTTTATGAGGATAGTGAGGCTCAAGTTAGAGTATGTAGGAAAAAGGGAAATTATTTCCCAGTAAAAGTAGGCCTTAGACAAGGATGTGTGATGTCACCGTGGTTGTTTAATATATTTATAGATGGGGTTGTAAGAGAAATAAATGCGAGGGTCTTGGCAAGAGGCGTGGAATTAAAAGATAAAGAATCACACATAAAGTGGGAGTTGTCACAGTTGCTCTTTGCTGATGACACTGTGCTCTTGGGAGATTCTGAAGAGAAGTTGCAGAGATTGGTGGATGAATTTGGTAGGGTGTGCAAAAGAAGAAAATTAAAAGTGAATAGAGGAAAGAGTAAGGTTATGAGGATAACAAAAAGATTAGGTGATGAAAGATTGGATATCAGATTGGAGGGAGAGAGTATGGAGGAGGTGAATGTATTCAGATATTTGGGAGTGGACGTGTCAGCGGATGGATCTATGAAAGATGAGATGAATCATAGAATTGATGAGGGGAAAAGGGTGAGTGGTGCACTTAGGAGTCTGTGGAGACAAAGAACTTTGTCCTTGGAGGCAAAGAGGGGAATGTATGAGAGTATAGTTTTACCAATGCTCTTATATGGGTGTGAAGCATGGGTGATGAATGTTGCAGCGAGGAGAAGGCTGGAGGCAGTGGAGATGTCATGTCTGAGGGCAATGTGTGGTGTGAATATAATGCAGAGAATTCGTAGTTTGGAAGTTAGGAGGAGGTGCGGGATTACCAAAACTGTTGTCCAGAGGGCTGAGGAAGAGTTGTTGAGGTGGTTCGGACATGTAGAGAGAATGGAGCAAAACAGAGTGACTTCAAGAGTGTATCAGTCTGCAGTGGAAGGAAGGCGGGGTAGGGGTCGGCCTAGGAAAGGTTGGAGGGAGGGGGTAAAGGAGGTTTTGTGTGCGAGGGGCTTGGACTTCCAGCAGGCATGCGTGAGCGTGTTTGATAGGAGTGAATGGAGACGAATGGTTTTTAATACTTGACGTGCTGTTGGAGTGTGAGCAAAGTAACATTTATGAAGGGGTTCAGGGAAACCGGCAGGCCGGACTTGAGTCCTGGAGATGGGAAGTACAGTGCCTGCACTCTGAAGGAGGGGTGTTAATGTTGCAGTTTAAAAACTGTAGTGTAAAGCACCTGTCTGGCAAGACAGTGATGGAGTGAATGATGGTGAAAGTTTTTCTTTTTCGGGCCACCCTGCCTTGGTGGGAATCAGCCAGTGTGATAATAAAATAAAAATAAACATATTACTGCACTTCCTATCAATGTGTGGGAGCCTATAAATCACACCTAAAATTAATTTGTCATGACCCTCGAGAAACTGTAGCCAAACAGATTCTGTGTTCGATCTTTCTAATCTTATATTATGTCTAAATCAACAATTTAAATTATCTGTGACATACATCGCCACCCCACCACCCTTCCTGTTGACCCTATAAATGTGGAATAGTTTATAACCCTGTATGTTGCATTCAGAAGGCATTTCTCTATCTTTCAGGTTGAACCAGGTCTCTGTTATACCAATAATATCTATATTACCTACACTTGCAAGTAATCTTAGCTCATCTATCTTTTTTCTTAGACTCCTACTACATGTATTTGTATAGTAAACCTTAAAGGAGCTAGTCACTCATTGCCCTCTATCTACTAGCCATACCTCTATAATCTATCAGTTTAAATTCCTTGACAAGTCATCTATTACCCCATCAATCGAATTGGCTAATGCAACCACTCCAGCCCCAGAGAGATAAACCCCATCTCTTGCATACATATCACGTTTGCCATAGAATATGTCCCAGTTATCAATGAATGGGATTGCAAGTTCCTTGCAGCACCTGTCTAGCCAGCAATTTATACCAATTGCTCTAGACATCTATTCATTGCCCACTCCCTTTCCAGGCAAGATGCTACATGTGACTGGGATCCCTCCCTTAGACCTGACTACTTCTATGGCTGACCTGTACCTATCCAGCACCTCCTGTCTCCTGCTCTTCCCAATGTCATTACCCCCAGCACTAAGACAGATAATGGGCCTGTTCCCATTACCTGACATAATATTATCCAACCTGCTGACTACGTCACCAACACCAGCTCCTGGAAGGCACACCCACTGTCTGACCTTTCTATATCTGTTACAAAAAGCACGGTCCATATATCTCACCTGAGAATCACCTACAATTAAAACATTCTTACCTTGATTAGCAAAACCTGCGCAAGTTATTCTGCAGAAAGAGTGATGAAGGCTTGAGCCTCTATCTGCTGAATGTGCTGTAATCTCTGGGAGATCAGGCAGTAGATAATCTCCTCCAGCTTTTTTTTAAATACTGTACTAAGTACCTGATTTCTGGCAAAGGCTCCACTCAGTCTCCTCAAGTTGAGTGCGGAGAGAACTCAGCTCACGTCTTAGTTGTTCTGTCTGGCTGTGATGGCTGTCACGATCTCTTCGCACCTCCTCTAGCTCTGCTAGCAGCTTCCGACGCTCCTGCTGCAGCTGGTGAAGAGATTACATCAGGACCAAGAACCAAAGGTAACTAAAATAATAATAATAATAATAATTTCTTAATACATGAAACAGTTTTTCACAAAATTGGATAAAACTTAATATTGCTCGTGGCAAATCACTGGCTTTTCAGAGTATTTTGGTATCATTTTGGAAGGCAGAGTTCCGACTAAAGGGAAATAAGACACGTTATGACTGGACTATCTTGTCGCCAAACTGAGGGCCTTAGCCCACAGCAAAATTGTCCAGAAACTAGCAGGCCAGTGTACTGTCCGCTGTACCATGGACAACATGCTAGCTTGATAGCTTTAGGACTAGCTGGCCATGGGTTTAAACCCTCTGTTCAGTTAGCTGCTTACAGTCATATTACAATTTCGTGAGTCATGGGTTATCCTAAGGTAAGTCAAAGTTTTTATTTAGGTATGCCATACAACACATGTAATTTTTTAAATTGGTCTTATGGTCAAACAAGTGTTATTGAAACATATAATGTAGGTTTGATCTGGGATAACCAAATAAAGATAAACAATGTGACCTGCATCCTTTGGGGTTCTGATGATAACCAAGATGTTGAGAAGTTAGAATCATTAGAAAAAACAGAAATAGAAAAGAGAAGAGTGTGAGCACGAGAAGCAGCAATAATAAAAAAAAAATATTATAGCAAGTCTCAAGTGATAGCAACTTCAGCTGGCAACTGAGGGACCTGAGTTTGAACTTCTGCTCAATTAGCAGTAGGGATGTGCAGTGTACCTGGGTGTTAAGTGACTGTTGTGGGTCGCATCTTGGGGAAGAGTATGAAAGGATCCCAATGGAAATAAACCATTATAGATTTATTGAGCAATCCTGGGTAACCCTTTAGGTTAATGCCTGTGGAACCCTCTTGATCCAAGAAATTGGAGTTACACTTCTCTTCCTTGGATGAAGCCTAATCTACCAAGGGAAGTTTTTGATGCTGGTGATGGGCTCTTGATCTAAAGAAATGGACCTATGATCCAAGTACGTAATTAAATAGAATGTGAATGCCTTCCATTACCCAATGCCCTACATTGGGGAAAAGCTAAACCCAAAGGGGTTTAGTGCTCTCTCCCTGAATATAATAATAATAATAAAGCCTGAATGCTTCTCACTTACATATAGCGCATAAATAATTATTTTATACGTGTGAAAACAAGCTTGGAGAATGAAAAGTTATCCGATTTGGTCCATACCAGGAGTCAGCTCTTGTTTCATAGCTCATAAGACTTTCCACAATCAACAAGGCAACTCCTTCCGCCCTTGAGGAAGGCTAACTTGCATTAAGCATATATAAAAATCGCTTCGATTGGAGGCCCTCTATTAATAAGTATTCAACATATAAATTAGCCATGAAAATACGTTTTCTTCGTTACTTTAAAGAAAACTTAAAGACTTGTAAGGATAAACTTGTATAATCTTGGCATTCACTATTGTATTTTGCATTGTTACTTTTTCTTGTGTGGTTAGGTTAGGTTCGTCAGGAAACAGGACAAATGTGATATTGATAAATTAATGTATCAATCGTAACTGTAAAATCTATTATGCTTTTCTGTCGCAGAAATGTGAAGAAACAAAAGAAAAAGAATAAATGATAAAGAAAAAGAAGAAACAAAATAAAAATAAAAAAGATAAGCTAGAAGAAAGAAGAAATAAGAATAAAGAAGCAAGAGGAGGAAGTCGTACCCTAACCAAAGACGGAATAAAGCTTCCGTCTTCAGCCAAGATGACAGTAGAAACATTCTCACAACAGTCATAGGCAAGATACATTATTATTATTATTATTATTATTATTATTATTATTATTATTATTATTATTATTATTATTATTATTATTATCACAACTAAGCGATAAACCCACAAGGGTCACAGACATAATACAGGACCCCAATGGAAATAAGTCACTGTGACTTGTTTGGGTTATCCTAGGTTCTCTACACATATGCTGCTATGTGTGATAATTTATGTAACTGTATTTGTGTATACCTGAATAAATTTACTTACTTACAGGTACCTCTTCCTCTTTCTCCCCTTCTCTCTCTCTCTCCCTCTTTCTCCCCTCTTTCCCTCTCTCTCTCTCTCTCTCTCTCTCTCTCTCTCTCTCTCTCTCTCTCTCTCTCTCTCTCTCTCTCTCCTCAAAAGTCATGAATCCTTCAGAGAGTTTGTAACCCAACACCGAGGCTGACCGCAGTGACCCTAGGCAATGACCCCTGGCAGTGACCCCAGACAGTGAAACGAGGTGTACTTCCACCATCACTGACACCATCATAACCACTACCATCTACATCCCCATCACACTACCATCACAACCACCAACACCATCTGCAACACCCTCACACCCACCATTATCTGCAACACCACACCCACCAACACCATCTGCAACACCATCACATCCACCAACACCATTTGCAACACCATCTACAACACCATCACACCTATCAACACCATCTGCAGCACTAACACACCCACCACCAAGGAATTGGAGCTATGATTCCATTCCTCAGATCAAAACTGATAAATTCCCATTCTCTGTATGACTCCCTATGAATTTAGCGCTCCCAGTGCAATAATTTAACATTCTTCTCAATATGCGACAAACAAATTATTGAAGAAACACCACTAACATCATTCTGCTCCTGTAGCTACAAATAATTGATAATTACAAATAGGTAATCACAAATAGGTAATTACTAGGAGTAAAGGTATAATGATCAGCTTTCACCATTTGCAAGACACGAGTGCTGGTTCTTCTGCGATTTCGACAAAAAATTGCAAACCCATTTGATGGCCTATTTTCAGATTTTCAGCTATTTTAATTTGCTACAGTACTATCATTACCAATTTGCTGCTATCACGGCTACTTTACTGTCATATTATGAATATAATCACAATATAATCGACACTGTTTAAAATCCAAGAGCCAGTCCAAACTGTGTTCCTAATTTGTTCCAGTTCCCAGGCTGTCAAAGTATATTTATACAATAGGGGAAATCTCCCTTCTATTTAGGCCTAGAAGAAGGCTCAGATCTTTGACAGGTACTCGACTGCACAATAACGATATTATTATTATTATTATTATTATTATTATTATTATTAAGGCGAGCAGTGTCAACAGCAATGGTAGCAGAAGGTTACAAAGATCTTAGGGGAGAGAAGAAAAGTTAACACGTTGATGTTCAAGGAGATCAAAGAAGGCATCATCAACTTAGTAGAGAGAATGTTCACTATGTCTCAGGTTGATAAGATTTCGTTCGGATTTTTAACCCCGGAGGGTTAGCCACCCAGGATAACCCAAGAAAGTCAGTGCGTCACCGAGGACTGTCTAACTTATTTCCACTGGGGTCCTTAATCTTGTCCCCCAGGATGCGACCCACACCAGTCGACTAATAGAGCTACCTATTTGCTGCTAGGTGAACAGGACAAGTGTAAGGAAACTTATTGAAATGTTTCCACCCGCCGGAAATCGAACCCGGGCCCTCCGTGTGTGAAGCGGGAGCTTTAGCCAACAGGCCACCGGGCTGGTGGCCATCAACGTCGACGTGCTCTGTTTTCTTTCAAACAAGACCTCTGTAACCCTCTCACTACCATTACTTTTGATACTGCTCGCCTTAATTCACAAATTATTATTATTGTTATTATTATTACATTCACAGGAAAGCACGTATGAGTTATATAGTGCATGGGGAAAAGGGGCAAGTTAGTTTTCATCCAAGTGGAGAGCAGTTCCAATTCCTTGGATCAAAAACCCTTCACTAATAACAAAGCACTTTGAAGGATCGACAAGAGTGGAAGTGATTGACTAACATGGATTAAAGCCTATCGATTAAATGGGTCAATAAGGCTGCATGTTTCATGTTCACCACCAGTCAAGAATACTTTAATACCTAAAATAGAGTTAAGTAAATTCTCACTTCATATATACTGAGAGACAGATCTTACAGTGTATACACTGCTGAATAAAAGCGGAATTGGCTTACCTGGTAGAAAAAAAATATCGGGTGCGACTTGAACTAATGTCCTTAAAGTCTTAAAACTCACAAGCCATGGGTTCAAGCCTCATCCGTACTGATATTTGTTTGCAATCGAGTTAATACGATTTCGTGAGTGAGTTACCTGATATGTCTGTGTGGTTAATGACTGTTCCACCTTCAAGGCCTTCTGCTGGGCTCCCTTCAGACGAGAGTCGTACAGATCCCGAATCTTCTTCAGTTCTCTCTCCCACGTCCGCTCCTTCTCCTCGTACACCTGAAGCAGTCGCTTAAGTTAGTCTAGACATGAATAATCTTGCAGAAGAAATGAAACCGACAAACTGATACAAAGAGAAGCTATGACAGAATGGGAAAAGTTTATTATTACGTTTCGCTTGGAGACTGAACGAAACACACTTACTACGTTTTCATTCTGCCAGTTTTTTTTTTTTATCATGGCTAACTTTACCATAATCCTTATAGAGAATAAACTTTGAATTTGAATTTGAATTTGAATAAAGGTGAAAACGGTATTGGTACCGACAATATGTGGTTAAGGACACGTGAGCAAACTCTGGGTACATTTATTAGGGTTGTTTTGGTCCTGAGACCGTGTTCACTCCAAACATGTCTTGGTCTTGAGACCTTGTTCACTCCAAACATGTCTTGGTCCTAAGACCGCGTTCACTCCCAACATGTTTGGCGTGTACAAGGTCCCACGACTAAAACGTATACCAAAAAAAAAAAAAATCCTGCGCATTTGCTCACATGTTTGTAACCACAGCTGACAAGGAATATTAGAAATGCATTTTAAAGTCAAAATATTTAATATAGTTCTCAGAAAAATTCTTGACTTTCATGAATCGCTTAAATTTGTACTATTTTCTGTAATAATTAAAATATAAAATGTTTATTTTTGTTAATCTTTGATTGTGACTAATATCGATATTTTGAGGAATTGGATATGATGAAATTTCTAATCTCTGGTATGTTGTTCAATACACTAGTGTTTACCCAACCAAAGAGTTTATTGACAAGTTTCCCCGAGTCCCTCCTAATTTACGTTTCCTAGATGCACTAATCTGAGTCCCTTCCACCTTATTCTATGTCCTACCTTGAATATCACCTGCTCGTTCTGCTCCATAGTCTCCCGAAGAGTGTTGATCTCAGAGTCCTTCTCCTTCAACATGGCCTCCAGCTCCGCCACTCCAGAGTCTGAGGGCGAGGGTGTCTGGTGGTGTTCGTCAAGCGTGAGTTCACTGATTGACCCTGCTACTGAGCCGCATATGGTTCGGTCTAAACCCAAGTTGGACCCTGTAACTGACAACGATCTATCCAGACCTAGATTCGACCCACTAACAGAGCCCGATCTGTCAAGGTTGGAGCCGGTCACTGAAGCAGATCTGTCCAATCCGACGTTCGAGCCCGATCGGTCGAGTCCTTGGACGGACCCAGAGTGGTGCGTATTGCTGATGCGAGTGAGGTTTGTAACCGAGCCGCCCATCCGCTGGTGTAGACCATTGGTCACTGGCTGGTGGTGGTGATGGTGGTTGTGGTGGTGGTGATGGTGAGCATACGAGTGACCAGAGTCACTAGAGAGATTTTTCAGACTGTCGTAGCGAGGGAGGTCGCTGTTTGAGTACCCGTTGACACGTATGTAAGTGGCCGCGTTGTCGTACGTGCTAGAGAGTCTGTTGTCATAAGAATTGTCGTAGCTGCCTGCAAGTCTGTTTTCTTGAGCAAACCTCATGTGAGGCTGACCATCCTCAATATTACTACAAGTGGACTGATGTGAGGGTGGACGTGGTGGAGGTGGAGGGTAGGATGGTGGTGATTTATTACTATTACTACTACTGCTACTGGTGCTGCTAATGCTGTTATTGTTATTGTTCAAACTGTTCTTGTTGTTCATGGAAGTGTTTTTACTATTGTGAAGCTTGGTGAGACTGTTGTATTTGTTGTTGTTTTCATTGGTGTGATGATCGTAGCAAGTTGATGCAGAGAGTGGCGTGACCAGACCACGACGGTCAAGGGAGCAGCTGTTGTTGCTCATAGTCTTGAGGTCACCCATACCTGTAGTGAGATCAGTAATTAGTACCGGAGCTCACCCATACCTGTAGTGAGATCAGTGATTAGTACCGGAGTTCACCCATACCTGTAGTGAGATCAATAATTAGTACCGGAGTTCACCCATACCTGTAGTGAGACCAGGGATTAGTACCCGAGGTCACGCATGCCTGTAGTGAGACTAGGTCACCCACACCTCTAGCAAGGTTACAGTCTTGCACGGAAAGAACTTCGTGATTTGCAAAGCTCTGATTTGAAACCCTTTGCAAGTACAGGTAGCCTACACATAACCTACAAATAACCTAAAACTACCCTACAAGTAATCTACAAGTAACTACAAGTAACCTACACGTAACCTACAGGTAACCTACAAGTAAAAACTCATGAGCCAGCGATTCGAGAGTACCCCTCCTCTACCTCTGATCAAAAGCTGATTAACCTTCTATTTCCCATGGCTTTAACACTTCATAAATATAATAATGTTTGGGTTATAATTACCCAGACTCAATTAACCGGAGACCTTTATTGCCTAACATGGTAACTGACAGGTTAAAGGGTCACATCTATAATGGCGTGTTGCTATTAAAATACACAGAGTTAAATATGGCTGGACAATAATCATGTATATTTAAATATGGTTTTCCAACGAAATATTACATCAATAACATTTATTTGGAATAGGGAATTGGTCATAAAAGTGTTTGGAAATTGCGTATTGGTTGGGGGATAGTGGGGGGCGATGGTGGGGTGGTGGCGGGGTGGGTGTGTGAAGATGGTGGCTGTAGTAGTGGAGAGATGGTGGTGGTAGTAGTGGGGAGACGGTGGTGGTGGTAATAGTGGGGAGATGATGGTGGTGGTAGTAGTGGAGAGATGATGGTGGTGGTGGTAGTAGTGGAGAGATAATGGTGGTGGTTACCTGGAGGTTATTCCGGGGATCAACGCCCCCGCGGCCCGGTCCATGACCAGGCCTCCCGATGGATCAGGGCCTGATCAACTAGGCTGTTACTGCTGGCCGCACGCAGTCCAACGTACGAGCCACAGCCCGGCTGATCCGGCACTGACTTTAGGTATCTGTCCAGCTCTCTCTTGAAGGCAGCCAGGGGTTTATTGGCAATTCCCCTAATGCTTGATGGGAGGCTGTTGAACAGTTTTGGGCTCCGGACACTTATGGTGTTTTCCCTTAGTGTACCAATGGCGCCCCTACTTTTTATTGGGGGTATTTTGCATCGCCTGCCCAGTCTTTTACTTTCGTAGGGAGTGATTTCTGTGTGCAGATTTGGGACCATTCCTTCCAAGATTTTCCAAGTGTAGATTATGATATATCTCTCCCTCCTGCGTTCCAACGAGTACAAGTCAAGTGCTTCCAAGCGTTCCCAGTAGTTAAGGTGCTTGACAGAACTTATACGTGCAGTAAAGGATCTCTGTACACTCTCTAGATCTGCGATTTCACCTGCTTTGAATGGAGATGTTAATGTACAGCAGTATTCCAGCGTAGAGAGAACAAGTGATTTGAAAAGGATCATCATGGGCTTGGCATCTCTCGTTTTGAAAGTTCTCATTATCCATCCTATCACTTTCTTTGCACGTGCGATCGTGGCACTGTTGTGATCCTTGAAAGTGAGATCCTCAGACATTACTACTCCCAGGTCCCTTACATTATTTTTCCGCTCTATTGTATGGCCGGAGTCAGTAGTATACTCTGTTCTAGTTATTATCTTCTCCAGTTTTCCATAACGGAGTAGTTGGAATTTGTCCTCACTGAACATCATATTGTTTACCGTTGCCCACTGGAAAACTTTGTTTATATCTTCTTGGAGGTTAACCGCGTCCTCAGCAGATGACAGCCTCATGCAGATCCTAGTATCATCCGCAAAGGATGATACGGTGCTGTGGTGTATATCTCTGTCTATGTCTGATATGAGGATAAGGAATAAGATGGGGGCGAGTACTGTGCCTTGTGGAACAGAGCTCTTCACTATGGCAGCCTCCGATTTAACTCTGTTGACCACTACTCTTTGTGTTCGATTTGTTAGGAAGTTGAAGATCCATCTCCCCACTTTCCCAGTTATTAATTTAGAACGTATTTTATGGGCTATTACGCCATGATCGCATTTGTCAAATGCTTTTGCAAAGTCTGTGTATATTACATCTGCATTCCGATTTTCTTCCAGTGCATCCAAGGCCATGTCATGGTAGTAGTGGAGAGATAATGGTGGTGGTAGTAGTGGAGAGATGATGGTGGTGGTAGTAGTGGAGAGATGATGGTGGTGGTAGTAGTGGAGAGATGATGGTGGTGGTAGTAGTGGAGAGAGATGGTGGTGGTAGTAGTGGAGAGATGATGGTGGTGTAGTAGTGGGAGATGATGGTGGTGGTAGTAGTGGGGAGATGATGGGGGTGGTAGTAGTTGGAGAGATGATGGTGGTGGTAGTAGTGGGGAGATGATGGTGGTGGTAGTAGTGGAGAGATGGGTGTGGTAGTAGTGGGAGATGATGGTGGTGGTAGTAGTGGGGAGATGATGGTGGTGGTAGTAGTGGGGAGATGGTGGTGGTAGTAGTGGGAGATGTGGTGGTGGTAGTAGTGGGGAGATGGTGGTGGTGGTAGTAGTGGGGAGATGTGGTGGTGGTAGTAGTGGGGAGATGTGGTGGTGGTAGTAGTGGGGAGATGGTGGTGGTGGTAGTAGTGGGGAGATGGGGGTGTGGTAGTATGGGAGATGGTGGTGGTGGTAGTAGTGGGGAGATGGTGGTGTGGTGGTAGTAGTGGGGAGATGGTGGTGGTGGTAGTAGTGGGAGATGGTGGTGGTGGTTGGTGAGAGTTGGTGGTAGTAGTGGTGGTGGTGTGTAGTAGTGGGAGATGGTGGTGGTGGTAGTAGTGGGGAGATGATGGTGGTGGTAGTAGTGGGAGATGATGGTGGTGGTAGTAGTGGAGAGATGATGGTGGTGGTAGTAGTGGGAGTGATGTGGGGTAGTAGTGGGGAGATGGTGGGGTAGTAGTGGGAGATGGTGTAGTAGTGGGGAGATGGTGGTGTTTAGTAGTGGGAGATGGTGGTGGTGGTAGTAGTGGGAGATGGTGGTGGTGGTAGTAGTGGGAGATGGTGGCGGTAGTAGTGGGAGATGGTGGTGGTAGTAGTGGGGAGATGGTGGTGGTGGTGGTAGTAGTGGGAGATGGTGGTGGTGGTGGTAGTAGTGGGGAGATGGTGGTGGTGGTAGTAGTGGGGAGATGGTGGTGGTGGTAGTAGTGGGAGATGGTGGTGGTGGTAGTAGTGGAGAGATGGTGGTGGTAGTAGTGGGGAGAAGATGGTGGTAGTAGTGGAGAGATGGTGGTGGTGGTAGTAGTGGGGGAATTGTGGTGGTGGTAGTAGTGGAGAGATGGTGGTGGTGGTGGTAGTGGGGGAATTGTGGTGGTGGTAGTAGTGGGGGAATTGTGGTGGTTGTAGTAGTGGGGGAATTGTGGTGGTTGTAGTGGGGGAATTGTGGTGGTTGTAGTAGTGGGGGAATTGTGGTGGTGGTAGTAGTGGGGGAATTGTGGTGGTGGTAGTAGTGGGGGAATTGTGGTGGTGGTAGTAGTGGGGAGATGGTTACCTGGAGGTTATTCCGGGGATCAACGCCCCCGTGGCCCGGTCCATGACCAGGCCTCCCGATGGATCAGGACCTGATCAACCAGGCTGTTACTGCTGGCCGCACGCAGTCCAACGTACGAGCCACAGCCCGGCTGATCCGGCACTGACTTTAGGTATCTGTCCAGCTCTCTTGAAGGCAGCCAGGGGTTCATTGGCAATTCCCCTAATGCTTGAGGGGAGGCTGTTGAACAGTCTTGGGCCCCGGACACTTATGGTGTTTTCCCTTAGTGTACCAATGGCGCCCCTACTTTTTATTGGGGCATTTTGCATCGCCTGTCCAGGTGGTGGTAGTAGTGGGGAGATGGTGGTAGTAGTTGAGAGATGGTGGTGGTGGTAGTAGTGGGGAAATTGTGGTGGTGGTAGTAGTGGGGGAATTGTGGTGGTGGTAGTAGTGGAGAAATGGTGGTGGTAGTAGTTGGGAGATGGTGGTGGTAGTAGTGGGGAGATGGCGGTGGTGGTAGTAGTAGTGGGGAAATGGCGGTGGTGCTAGTAGTGGGGAGATGGCGGTGGTGGTAGAGGTGGGGAGATGGTGGTGGTGGCAGTAGTGGGGGAATTGTGGTGGTGGTAGTGGGGAAGCTGTGGTGGTGGTAGTGGGGAGGCTGTGATAGTGGTAGTGGGGAGGCTGTGGTGGTGGTAATGGGGAAGCTGTCCTGGTGGTGGTAGTGGGGAAGCTGTCCTGGTGGTAGTGGGGAAGCTGTCCTGGTGGTGGTAGTGGGGAAGCTGTGGTGGTGGTAGTGGGGGAATGGTGGTGGTGATGAAATTTGTGGTATTGATAGTGTTGAAGGAAATGTGGAATGGGTTTGGTAATCGTGGTGATAGCAACGATGATGACAATGATTTTGATGAAGGGGGAAGGAGGCCTATTAGAGGGAAAGACTAGTAGCACAAGTGCAAAGAAAATAATAGGATGGATAATGAGAACGTTCAAAACGAGAGATGCCAAGCCAATGATGATCCTTTTCAAATCACTTGTTCTCTCTAGGCTGGAATACTGCTGTACATTAGCATCTCCATACAAAGCAGGTGAAATTGCAGATCTAGAGAGTGTACAGAGATCCTTTACTGCACGTATAATTCTGTCAAGCACCTTAACTACTGGGAACGCTTGGAAGCACTTGACTTGTACTCGTTGGAACGCAGGAGGGAGAGATATATCATAATCTACACTCGGAAAATCCTGGAAGGAATGGTCCCGAATCTGCACACACAAATCACTCCCTACGAAAGTAAAAGACTGGACAGGCGATTCAAAATTCCCCCAATTAAAAGTAGGGGCGCCATTGGTACACAAAGAGAAAACACCATAAGTGTCCGGGGCCCAAGACTGTTCAACAGCCTCCCATCAAGCATTAGGGGAATTACCAATAACCCCTGGCTGCCTTCAAGAGAGAGCTGGACAGATACCTTAAGTCAGTGCCGGATCAGCCGGGCTGTGGCTCGTACGTTGGACTGCGTGCGGCCAGCAGTAACAGCCTGGTTGATCAGGCCCTAATCCACCGGGAGGCCTGGTCATGGACCGGGCCGCGGGGGCGTTGATCCCCGGAATAACCTCCAGGTAATAGCATTAATAATAACACTGGTCAACAACCAAAATGTTTCCAAGACCAGAGTAGCAGTTTCTAACTAATTTTAGGTCACTGATAATGAATATATTGGTTAAAATTGTTTGTTATCTCTACTTTTCAATATAGAGCTACGTGTCACAACAGGTTCCAACAGGCCTGTGACAGTGTGTTTCTTACCACACTCACAGTCTGATTGACCTTCATTATTGTTCCAGCAGTCACAGAAGGTGGTTGTGATGTCCAAGTTTATATTTTGAGGTGAAAGGTCGGTGATTTTCTTAGCCAAACACTTTTTAAACTTATAGTAAATATTCACTTAGCAAACTATTGATATGCATGTGAGGCATATTATATTAATTTTATTTTCCTACTGAATGATATAAATACTTCTGCTTAGCTGTCATGCTCTGTATTATAATGTTAAATTAATAAATCAATTTTCTGTTTATTTTCTAATTGTTTGTTGTTTTCTTCTTTCAGATGTCTTGTAGTTGTGTGAATAGTGCAGACAACTTCTGCTACATTTGTGGTGAGGTGACCTTGGCATCACAGAAGCGCAGTATAACTGCTATGGTTAGAAAGGCGTATCACCTATATTTTGGATGCAAGATTGGTGACCAGGATAAGAACTGGACTCCACACACATGCTGCAACAATTGTGCTACTGACCTTCGCCAATGGTTGAACAGGAGGAAGAAAGGAATGCATTTTGCTGTGCCACTGACATGGCGGGAGCCAACAGACCATACCAACCATTGTTATTTCTGCATGGTACCTCCAGAACAAAAGTGCTTGTCAAAGAAAAAAAAGGGGTCCATTGAATATCCAAACATTCCATCAGGTATTGGCCCAGTTCTACATGGAGGTCTACCTGTTCCTGATGCACCAACTTCGGTATCCTTCGAGTCAGATGAAGAAAGTGGTTAGTAGGAAGAAGAGAAGGATGACAGTGCTGGATTACACAGTGACCGAAACTTTGATGACGCACACTCCTCTAGGCCACATCTCATAACAAAAGGGGAACTCCATGACTTTGTCAGGGATCTGCAACTACCCAAAAATAAGGCAGAGCTGCTAGGCTCTCGTCTTCAACAGTGGAATCTCCTAGCAGCTGATGTGAAGATTTCAGAATTTCGTGGCCGTCATCAAAACTTACAAGAACATGGAATGTAACATATCACTTAAAATCCACTTTTTGGACTCACATTTAGACTTTTTTCCAGCGAACCGTGAGACAGTTAGTGGCGAACATGGTGAAAGGTTTCACCAAGATATTTCAACCATGGGAAAATGGTACCAGGGCAAATGGGGCACAAGAATGCTTGCAGAATATTGCTGGACATGGGCAAGAGATGATTCTTCAGCCCACAATAAGCGTCAAGCAAAAAGGCAGAAAGTAGGTACGGATTAGAGTTTAAAACATACTGACACATATTGTACGCTATAATAAGATAATCAGATATTACATGTCTCGTATCATTTTTCAAGGTGATATTTGGATTCAGACATGAAAATACATAAGAATTAACTAATCTCATTTAAGAAGCATACAACTTTTCAAAAATTGTTGACCAGTGTAATAAACAACTGTTATTGGTTAATGGCTTCAGGACAACAACAAAAATATCTACTTAAAAAAAATATTCATTGAAAAAACAAATTGTCAAATTGACTGAAATAGAGGAAAACACATTTCAAAATATATTGATTTTGGGGGATAAAAAATGCATTAAAGAATGGAAAAAATACAAAAGACAATTTTTAATATTCTGCCTGGAGAGAAGCCAGTAGCAGCCACCAGGGACACGGGGCCAGGAGCTGAGCTCGACCCCCTGTAACCACAACTGAGGACATACATACAACATTGAGGACGTGGTACTTACTGCCATAGTGGTGAATGCCTCCTCGTGCCAGTGTGGGCGTGGAGGTGTACCGTGGGTCAGGGGGGCGTGCTGGGGGCGTGCTGGTGGAGTGAAGTAGAAATCCTCCAGAGGACCCCGTCAGACTCCCCCCGCACCCACCCTGGGGGGCAACGCCCCCCTGCACCCCAGCAGAAGCCACTGGTTTGAAGGCTATGGGCCGGATGACCACCTTGCCCTAAGGAAGGGAAGAGACGATAATCTCATATTAACAATCTTATCAGTTAATGGTCGTGGGGACCACCGTACGGTTTCAGTCCATGCCCCTGCGGCACGGTCTCAGACCAGGTTCCTGCGACACGGTCTCAGACTAGCCATCCTGGAAAGGTAATATTCCCGGAGACACGGCCAATACCGTACCCGGAACGATCTCAGACCCGGTCCTGCAAAACTCCAGAAGTCCTGGACACGTTGACCGGCCCGACCGTTGAACCCACTTGGAAAACTATACAGAAAACACAAAAACAAGAACGGACGCCCAATACACAACAACCCGCAAAGATGAGACGTTACCTGTGACTAGTGACACTAACACACGAAAGTAAGTTAGCAGTTTAGTTTGTTAGTGTGACTAATTCGGACCGAAACGTTGTTATAGAGTTTATTTCTCCTATGGGTTATTTGTGTAATGTTAGAAGAATGAGAGATATTAAAGAGTCACGGGAAGGTTACTTGTAAGAATGTTGTCGGAGATCAATATCCCCGCGACTTATAACAGGTCTTCTGCTGGATCAACACCTTATCAACCAGTATGTTACTGCTGGCCACAAGCACTCCAATGTACGAAGCACAGCGTGGCTGATCAGGAACCGACTTGAGGAACTTATAATCGGAGCTAAACGCTAAACCCACAAAGGTCATAGAGCTCTCTTAATTATAGCTGTGTAGTGAAGGTCAGCAGATGCTTGCAAGATTTACTCATCATCTTATGGGTTAATTAAACAGCACTCCTGTCAGAGTGCAAAACATTTAACAAGCTTTCGGTTCACACACGAGAAGACAGGAGTTCATCCCTGGATGGTTGTTGTCTACCAACCTACTGCCAGAATGCAATGTATAACAAGACTTTCGTTCAGTTACTCAGACGAAAGAGAGGGTAGCTCTAGATCAGGGGATCAAGAGCTCTTCAACAGCATCAAGGCAGAGATGCATCAGTCATTTAATCGCTCTCCTTTAATGACTGTTGCATGAAATTAGTGTTTGACTCAGTGCTATCTGCTTTACCTGTACATACCTGCTTACTTGCTCTCTCTCTCTCTCTCTCTCTCTCTCTCTCTCTCTCTCTCTCTCTCTCTCTCTCTCTCTCTCTCACACACACACACACACACACACACACACACAAACACACGCGTCAATCACAACTTCATATCCTGCTACATACAATGTCGATAAGTGACTGCCAACCGGCTGTGGGCAGTGGACATGTGTGGGTGGGCAGTGGACATGTGTGGGTGGGCAGTGGACATGTGTGGGTGGGCAGTGGACATGTGTGGGTGGGCAGTGGACATGTGTGGGTGGGCAGTGGACATGTGTGGGTGGGCAGTGGACATGTGTGGGTGGGCAGTGGACATGTGTGGGTGGGCAGTGGACATGTGTGGGTGGGCAGTGGACATGTGTGGGTGGGCAGTGGTCAGTTTACACACAGACCATTCACGGATCAGGTCTCCATGTGATAATTTCAGAAAGATCGTCCGATCAAGTTCAAAGTCAATTTCGTTACTGAAAAGTTTAAAGCCGAACAGTAGAATTTTTCCCAAGTTATCACATGGAAAAAAATCAGGAATTGCTATTTCTAAATAATAATAATAATAATAATAATAATAATCTCCATGGGGAAGTGGAAAAAAATTCTTCCTCCGCAAGCCATTAGTGTCGTAAGAGGCGACTAAAATGCCGGGAGCAAGGGGATAGTAACACCTTCTCCTGTATAGATCACTAAATTTAAATTATCTCTAAGTTCACAGGGTCATCACAGGGCGACCTAAAAAGAAAAACTTTCGTTTTTTTTCAGGTCACCTTGCCTTGGTGGGATATGGTCGGTGCATGTAAATAATAATAATAATAATAATAATAATAATAATAATAATAATAATAAAATATTATTAATAATAATTTTGACATAATCAAAACTAAGCACTAAGCCTTTTGACTTGTAATTAATAATTTTAATGAAAACTTTTAATTTCCTGACAATGCTGCCCTTGGCCATATTTAATTTATATATAATGTATCCACAAACATTATCTCTCAGTTCACAGCAGGATTCGAACCTACACACACTATCAAAGTACACAGTACTTCGATACAGTATGTGCAGGTTCGAACCCTGCTGTGGACTTAGAGATAATGTTTATAAGCAATTTCGCCTGTTTGCTTATTGTTAAGCATAGTATATTTAAATTCAGAATACACTACCTCCGGTCTGGGACCGAGACACGGAGAAGAATCATTACTTGTTCAATACTCGTCGACTCACAGTACTGAACACTCGGTAAAAAAAAAAAAAGCAAGTCTAGAGATAACTGATCAACGATGCCGGATTTGCGATAGTGATAACTGATTGGAGATGGACCTGATGGGCTAGGTGAAGTGAGAGCCTGAGTTGATATATATTTGGTATGTGTCCAGAGCATGGAACTAATAGGGAGAGGAAGTGGATCCTGTGAATCTGCAAGACTTAATTAGTGCAGGTCATTGTCTGGGTGGTACAAGTTACCCACTGAAATTCAAGATAGTGACCATATACACCAGCCTCAATGTTCAAGATAGTGACCATACAGGCCACCTCACTGTTCAAGATAGCGACTATACAGGCCAGCCTCACTGTTCAAAATAGCGACTATACAGGCCAGCCTCACTGTTCAAGATAGTGACCATACAAGCCAGCATCGCTGTTCAAGATAGTGACCATACAGGTCAGCCTCACTGTTCAAGATAGTGACCATACAGGTCAGCCTCACTGTTCAAGATAGTGACCATACGGGTCTGCATCACTGTTCAAGAGAGTGACCATACAAGTCAGCATCACTGTTCAAGATAGTGACCATACAGGTCAGCATCACTGTTCAAGATAGTGACCATACAGGTCAGCATCACTGTTCAAGATAGTGACCATACAGGTCAGCATCACTGTTCAAGATAGTGACCATACGGGTCTGCATCACTGTTCAAGATAGTGACCATACAGGTCAGCATCACTGTTCAAGATAGTGACAATACGGGTCTACATCACTGTTCAAGATAGTGACCATACGGGTCTGCATCACTGTTCAAGATAGTGGCCATGCAGGTCAGCCTCACTGTTCAAGATAGTGACCATACAGGTCAGCATCACTGTTCAAGATAGTGACCATACGGGTCTACATCACTGTCAAGATAGTGACCATACGAGTCTGCATCACTGTTCAAGATAGTGACCATACAGGTCAGCATCACTGTTCAAGATAGTGACCATACGGGTCTACATCACTGTTCAAGATAGTGACCATACGAGTCTGCATCACTGTTCAAGATAGTGACCATACAGGTCAGCCTTACTGTTCAAGACAGTGACCATACAGGTCAGCCTCACTGTTCAAGATAGTGACCATACAGGTCAGCCTCACTGTTCAAGATAGTGACCATACAGGTCAGCCTCACTGTTCAAGATAGTGACCATACAGGTCAGCCTCACTGTTCAAGACAGTGGCCATACAGGTCAGCCTCATTGTTCAAGATAGTGACCATACGGGTCAGCCTCACTGTTCAAGATAGTGACCATACAGGTCAGCCTCACTGTTCAAGACAGTGACCATACAGGACTGCCTCACTGTTCAAGATAGTGACCATACAGGTCAGCCTCACTGTTCAAGACAGTGACCATACAGGTCTGCCTCACTGTTCAAGATAGTGACCATACAGGTCAGCCTCACTGTTCAAGACAGTGACCATACAGGTCTGCCTCACTGTTCAAGACAGTGACCATACAGGTCTGCCTCACTGTTCAAGATAGTGACCATACAGGTCAGCCTCACTGTTCAAGATAGTGACCATACAGGTCTGCCTCACTGTTCAAGATAGTGACCATACAGGTCTGCCTCACTGTTCAAGATAGTGACCATACAGGTCAGCCTCACTGTTCAAGATAGTGACCTAGTCAATCATTTCCTTCCGTCTAAGATGCATCCATCTCAACTATTTCCTCATCTTCTTGCGCATGGGTAATGGTAAAGTAATCAGATTTGTTCCAAGGAAATGGAGAGCAGCCTAAGTTCCTTGGAACAAGAGCTCTTCACTGACATCAAGACGACACCTCCCCTCCCCTCGCTGGACATCCTGGAATTATCCTGAAGATGTTTCAGGGGTTAATAACCTCGTGGTAAACTCTCAGACCATGTCTCATGGTTGTTGACCTGATGTACCAGGTTGTTGGTGCCAGCACCAACCACCTAGTACATCAGGAAATGACAAACTTATCAGGCACCCTTTTGAAGATATCTAGGGGGATCTGTCGGTAATTCCCCGTATGCATGATAAGAGGATATTGAAAAGTCTTGGCCCCTTCAAACTTATTGAGTTATATCGTAGTACACTCATTACAATCCAGTTTTCATTGGAGGAATTTGGCACCGTCTGCTAAGCCTCTTGCTTTCATAAGAACATCAGAAAGAAAAAGCACTGCAGCAGGCCTCCTGACTCATGCTAGGCACGTCCAACTCACACCCAACAAGGAGTTTGAGGTAATCAGTCCATCAGCCTGGAGTCAATGTGATGAGTCAACAAGACCGATGGACTGATCATACTGCCTCCAGGCTGAGGGAATGATTACCTCAAACTCCCGATCTTCAACCATTATTCTCTGTACTGGACTGAGGAAGCCAGTGAATGGCGAAACGTTTCCATAGTAAAGATACCTAAATGTTGCACAAGTGACTGAGTCATCATTCTGTCGGTCCTCCGAGCCACATTATCCAACTCAACAATCTTACTCGTCTTAAAAGGGACAACGTACAGAAATATTCTAACCTAGAGAGAACAAGTATTAACAATAGCTTGACGTCTCTTGTTTTGATGGTTCGGTTATCAGTCCGTGTTAGTATACAATACTGACACCGAGGCAGTACCCAGGATACCATTACTAGTAAGGTAATACCTGGACAGAGAACCGGATACACACCCGCGGTGTGGGCGTGAGTGGGC